TTTTTAATATACAGCCTATATTAAAAAAATTGAATCTCTTTCCACAAAAGTTTTCTTTATCTGGGGCGTATTTTATGGTGAAAAATATTTTACAGTTAATTTGTCTATTTTCACTTTATTTATATATATTTTTGATATTGAGTTAATAATCTTTTTCTGTCTTTTAATTCACTCTACTGTATATACTCTACTGTATACCGTGCGATTGAAATTCCAACAGAAGATTATGCTTGCCATGGATCAACTGATGCTTGCAGTCGAAATATGAAACCTTTTCGAGATGAACGCCAGCTCGTTTTGTTGCCCTCCTCCATCAGTGTGTAATTACTGCAATGGTGGAAAACAGATGAACTCATTTACTCCTCCCTCAACTACCCTAATTCCCCCTCTTATTTAACCCCCTGTTACTCACATACTCTTCGAGTACCCCCCTGCTCTCTGTTTCTTTCTTTTTTTTATCTACAATGGCTTGCTTCAGAATGTTGGTTTTGGTGTTGTTTTGCATGATGTTGGTGGGGATGGTGGCCGCTCAAGATGGAGATCCGTTTGGAGATCCGTTTGGAGATCCATTTGGGTCCACGCAGAGAGGAAGAAGGAAGGAGATGGTGCCAGCCTTGTTCATTTTTGGGGATTCTCTTATTGACAATGGCAACAACAACAACCTTCCCTCGTTTGCCAAGGCAAACTATTTCCCCTATGGCATTGATTTCAATGGCGGTCCTACCGGCCGTTTTTCCAATGGCTACACCATGGTTGATGAAATAGGTAAATCTATCCCTCTGTTTTTCATTTTCCCTTTTTCTTTTCTATCACCAATCTCGTCTAAGATGCCCATACAAAGGAATCTGTAAGGAATTGGTTTGAGGAATCAAATCTTAGTTGATTGAGCGTACCATGCTAATCCATTGAGGTTCACAGCTCTCTGGATCTTTTTCTTTTCGAAAAGCTCAAAACTGTAAGATTGATTTCACAAAGTGAATGCATGTTTTGATTGATGTAAATTTGCAAGCATGCAGCTGTATTGTTAGGACTTCCTCTGATCCCTGCATTTTCTGAAGCATCCGGGGCTCAAGTTCTCCATGGGGTCAATTATGCCTCAGCAGCTGCAGGAATCCTTGATGTCACTGGAAGAAATTTTGTAAGCAAAGTCACTCTTAAATAGCTACACCCATTTCATTTGAATGCCTAATTGAGGTGTTTTATTTTTGTTTATTTGATTTCAGGTGAGTAGAATACCCTTTGATGAGCAGATCAGGAACTTCCAGACTACCCTTGATCAGATTACTGCTAACCTTGGTGCAATTGATACAGCCCAGTCCTTGGCAAAATGCCTGTTCTTTGTAGGGATGGGCAGCAATGACTACCTCAACAACTACCTGATGCCTAATTACCCAACCCGAAACCAATACAATGGCCAGCAGTATGCTGATCTGCTTGTTTCACAATACGACCGCCAACTTACTGTAAGATCTCCTTCCCTCCCTATCAAGTGCTTGCCTTTGTCTTTGCCATGATTTTATACAGACTTTGTGTTGTTTATGAATGGCAGCAACTTTACAATCTCGGAGCCCGGAAATTTATCCTGGCGGGTTTAGGAAGAATGGGATGCATTCCAAGTATACTGGCTCAAAGCTCAACTGGCGGCTGCTCAGAAGAAGTGAACGAGCTGGTTTTACCTTTCAATGCAAATGTAAAGGCCATGATGAACAGACTGAATACTAATTTGCCAGGCGCCAGATTCATATATATTGACATTGCAAACCTGTTTGAAGATATCATCAACAATGCTAGAACTTATGGTGCGTCCAATTACAAAACAAACATAGTCCTTTTGCCTAGAAGAGTGGAAAATAAAATATCAGTTTAGACAACCATAACCTTTAGATATGGTTTCACACACACCCACATCTAACAACTGCAGTTGTTGTCAGTCTGGATTGAAAGAAACTTTTCTAATATTTGATATATTGCCTTTTTTTGTTGAATTTTGCAGGATTTAGTGTGGTAGATCGGGGGTGCTGTGGCATTGGGAGAAACAGGGGTCAGGTTACTTGTCTTCCTTTTCAGACACCTTGTCCAAACAGAGATGAATATGTATTCTGGGATGCATTCCATCCAACAGAAAAGGTGAACATAATCATGGCGAGGAAGGCCTTCAATGGGGATGCAAGCGTAGTTTCTCCCATGAACATAGAACAGCTTGCCATTCTTGACATTAAGAATTAGTATAAGAGTACTAAGAGCCCGTGCCCTCTTGAAAGGACAAGGAAAATCTAGTCAGTTTTTGTATTTCAATGTAGCGTCATCAATATTTATGGAATTAGAACTTGTTTTTATTGCTATATACTTCAAGGTTTCATCGCATCTATTGCTACGTACTACCATACCAACTTTCGTTTAATTTTTCAATTTGAAACTTAATTTATTGGATGAGTTGGAGTTTCTATGTGATACATGAGTAAATCTTACATAAATTTTTAATTTTTAATTTTTAAATTTAATGGTGCTCAAATTATTGGATTTAGGAATCGCCACTATTAATTAATTTAACATTTTCTTTTGGTATTTATGGTGTAATAAGGTCAATTTTAATTATTTTTTTCCTACCTTAGAGATTAATTCCTTTTTAGATGATCTTAAGGTGCAATTCTTAGATCAATTTAGCATATTTAAAAAAATTAATTTTTTTAAATGTTAGGTCCAAAACTTAAACCCAAAATTAACTTTGACACTTATCAATAGATTTAACTCTTAAAATTTCATTTATATAAGATTTACACATATAAATAGAGTCAAATTAGCCAAAATAGTCAATTAGTAAAAGGTTTATTCCCCACCTTATTAGTCAATATTCAATTTCTTAAAAAAATCAATAAAAAAATAATTCTTTATAAATTTCATTATCCTAATATAAATAACCTATATTTGGTCAAATTATGAAAGAATTAGTCTCGAAACTATTATCTAATCCATCATTTATAGATGGACATCTAACCAAAATCAATCTTACAATCGAATCAACTGTATCATCTGAATTAATGGGTACATTTATATGGAGATAAGAAAAGTATATAGTGGTAGTTAGATCCATAGTTTATAAATTTAATACTATATGGTGGGATAAGTAATGTCTAAGACCTAGAAAATTTATCATCATAAATAATAAATTCTTGAAAATGGCATCTGGACACACCAAAACGAATGAGAATTAATTCATTAGCTGATATGTAATACAAACACTACACTCTTCAGTTTTATTTCATATTAATTCATGGATGGAAGTCTCATCCATTTTCAGGATTCTTATTTATATTTTAATTTATGGCGACTGTATACACCGACTTTAGGAGCAAATTTACTCACGACTTTGCTCCAAGACATTACTCTAATGGGTCCATAGAGGTTCGAATTTAATTATGGTTTCTGCTTCATAAATGTCCTGCAACATGAGGTTAGTTAATATATTTTCTAGGTAGTTTTTTATTGCAGAAATATTGTGCAGGACGACTCGCAGATGGAAAGTGGTGTACTCTTGCACTTTCTTACCGGAAAAATGTGGGAATAAAAATGTTAAGGTTACATTTTTTATTTAAAAGTATTAAATTTGTTAAATTTTAAATAAAAATATTATTTTTTAATTTATTTTAAATAAAAATATAATTTTTGAATTTATTTTATTTAAAAATATTATTTTTTAATTTTTTTAAAATGCCCTGTTTGTTATGTCATGATCACTAACGAATTAATTATTATGTAAAAAAGTTAAAAATTTTACATAATTAAATAAAAAATAAAAAATTAATATTTTTATTTAAAAATTAATAAAACTAACATTTTTAAATAAAATAATATAAAATTAACATCTTTATTTATATTTTCTCCTTTCTCATTGGGTGAAGTTTTAAATTGTTAAGAGGAATAGAAGAAAAGATATAGGGTGTCCGTTTTAATGTTTTCAAAAATAGTTATGCATTATTGATTCTAATTAAATGAATTAAATATTTTAAATAATAAATACAATGATTATTAGTAATAGGATATCGACTATTAACAAAAATTTTGAAAACCTTTAAAACATAATGGGTTTTTCTTCTGTGAATGTACCCTCCATAAAATTCCTTTTTAATCAATTCGCCTCAAAAAAATTTTTGACCCCTCCTTAAATTGTATTAAAGTCCATCCTCAACTAGTATTTATCAATTATGTTTGAAAAATTGATCCAAATATTCTCGTAAACTTTATTATAAAGAACTTCACAAAGTACTTTTTTCTTAAAGTATCATGTCTAAAAATGTAAGTTTATTATAAATATTTAATTTTAATTAATATTCATATGATTTTAATAATTTTAATTAATACTTTTTATATTTTTTCTATAAGAAGTCTCAGAAAAAACTTATTGCTACATCACAATGCAACACAACATAATACTAATAAACGAAACCTAAGTAAGAATAGTTTTGAGGTATGTACTCACTTTGCTTAAAGATTCAAAATTCCTTTAAATACAATAGAGTCTTAACTCTCTCAAAATAAAAAAATTCTGCTGTATTCCCAAAATACTACTAATATGGTATCTCAACCCAACCAAAAAATACCATGTCAGCCTTTTTTTTTACAACTCATCAGTCATCTAATGGAGAAAAGCTAAAGTGGTGGTTTTTGGTTGACCCAGGATATTTCGAGGATACAGCATAATTTCTTCTCAAAATATCTGTGAAATTTCTATTTTCATCATCTTTTTAAATTCTATAAAATGACTATTTATATTGATTGAAGAAGTATTTTCAAACTCATATCATTTTGAGAAGATACCTTCCCACCAAAAAAACATATTTTCAAATGGTGTCTAAAAATATTTATTAAGACATGTTTTAAATTTTGAACTTCAATAAAACTTTTAAAGATAATAAAAATAGTATTTTAACCAATGGGCCGAAATAGGAAATATCCTAAAAACATTTAACCCTTGCCATTCAAAATGAGAAATGGTCTGAAATGGAAGGGGGGGAAGGGTGAGTTAAGAGAAAGGAAAAAGGAAAAAGGAGGCACATGAAGCGTATATTATTAGGGTTTGCAGCTTTGCAATTCGTTCTTTGCATACTATATATTTTATAATTATTGATGGATTGAGGTCCACCCCAATATTAAAAAGCCCATCTCATGTCAATAATTATAAAATATATACTCCCCGTCACTTTTCTAATGCTATTATAAAATGAAAACCCATGACATGCTATCATAATGAAACCCACGCTATATATATCACCTGGTTAGTAATGGCGAAACTCCTCTTAAGCCCTAAATTTATCCCAAATTAATACATGAGCCCCTAAACTAAAGACAATGCAAATAATCCCTCAAACCCCTTGAATGATGCAAATTAACCCTCAAACCTCTTAAAAGATGCAAATCAATTAATGCTTATCATTAACAACCCAATATATGTGACATCATGCTATTTGTTCTTTTCCTTCACTTGATTCTATTTTTCCACATGGATCAAAAGATTCATTGGGCAGTAAAGATCCCACCAAAATGATTCACGTAGTTTGTGAACACTAAATAAGTAAATAAATAAAAGGGATCCACATGGATCATTTTGGCAAGATTTTTGCTGTACAAGGGGACCTTTGATCCACGTGAGCATTTATGTAGAAAAGTGGGGGACCAAGTGATAGAAAAGAACATACGGCATGGTCACATGGGTTGGGTGATTAATAATGACGGTTAGTTTACATTTTTTTTGAGAGGTTTGAGGGTTAATTTGCGTCATTCAAGGGGTTTGAGAGCTTATTTGAATAGTTTTTAGTTTAGGGATCACATCTTAATTTTGGGTAAGTTCGGTGGCTTAAGAGGGAGTTTTGCCCTTTGTGATTGTTGTTGGCCAATGCCATCACGACATTTTTAATATTGTCATAAATTTCCATTTTCTCGTATATTAGTCATCTTCGTTAAGTTTGCTATAATTATTTATTCCCTAGAATTTGGTATTATTATGTATGGAGTAGTGAAGTAAAGGATAAAAATTGAGATTAAGAGTTATATCATTAAATGAATTGATATATATAATATTATACGTTTCCATAAAGTAAAAAAATTAATCATTAAATTATGTAAATTTTATCTTTTAATATTTTAAATAAAATAATTTATAATATATCATTATTCTCAAATTTTGGCTCATAAAACTCATTCCTTTATCATTATTCTTAGATATAAGTTCGGAATCCATAAGCTTGGAGGAAGATATTTGAATTTCTTAATGTGTGACCGTTAGGGTAAGGGGAGCTGAGTTCATAACTTTATGCATCTGGCTTTTATGATCACCCCTGATCACATGCTATATATTATATTCCCTGCTATGCTTCATGGACATCTTTGGGGCGAAGAACCCATGGGGTAAAATTTCCAACATGCATGTATCCCTTGGCCCAAAAAAAAACCACATACATGAATCCCCTGAAGGGGAAGCTGTTTCCTCACAATTGAACTGTAACCACGGAATTAGCTGATGGCCAAGGACGCAAGGACAGACGTTCAGAAGCCAGTATTGGGGAACTTCATGTTCTGACGAGGAAAGACACAAGTTGAACCCAAAAATAATCAATTCATAATTTATGTTATGAAGCTAAAGCTTCACTTACAGTAAGTAAAACGTCCTCTGATTCATCAACTGCCATCTCATCTCTAAACAATAATCTAAGGTATGGAAGAACTTTGGGAAGAACAGGCAGGTCTGCTATGTTAATGTTCATCATGTCAAAAGCAATGCAAGTTTTATGCATGTGTGTGTCATCAAATACAGGAATTTTCGGGTATCTTTGGCTGAAATGTGTAAGAATAATGCGATAAGCCCCAGCAGAATTTCCCATTTCTATGGCTTCCTTAGTTGTGCTGTGGTTTTTAGCAATTGCTTCCTCCACCAAGCCATCCTCGAAAGTTGCCTGCAAAATTATCAAGAAGTTGGTCAACATGGGAACATAACTGGTGATTAAGAAAAGAACATAGGATTTCTGTTTGGTTGGCAAAAAAGAAAAGAAAAGAACCTAGGATACTGCAAGTGTAAAATAAGTCAATTTTAAAGCAAAACGGAAGAAAGTCTTGCCCAGTGCCAGTACAGTGCTGGTGCTCTTGGGACTATTTAGGGGAAAGTTACATATGTCGATGTTAATCAAAAAGAAAAGAGATACATATTATAACTAAGGGTTGTAGATATAGTTACATGAAACATATTAACCCAATAATGTCATCTATCCACATTAAAAATCCTTAAAAAACTTCTTGTCCTAGGTACCTATCATGTGAAATAGAATCATTATCTACATGACTAATCAGCCATTTCATTAACATCCTCCAATAATTTACCCATTTCATCAAGAATATGATTATCAGCCATAGAAGCATCGATCAATTAAAAGTTAAAATCCTAAGTCATAGCATTATTATGCATAGCACCATGCTAAGGATGATAGACAGATTGATAATACAGAAGGCTGGAAGCTATGATGATAACATAGCCAATTAAACATGACTTGCTAGTTTTATACTGACTTACCTCATGTATAAGAACTGTTGCCCCACGAGAGGCCTCTATAAGTTCCGGACAGGGCCTTGTGTCACCTGAGTACACAATCTTCCAACCCGGGATCACTTTTCCTACACTGTTCACTCTTTCTGCTGCCTTCAGAGCAACACCAAATGCCTGAGGGCAGTGCACAACAGGAAAACTAATCAAAGCCTCCAATCCAGCTTCAACTAGCACTGTCTTCAAGCTCTCTAGGATTGGATAAGCTGCAGAATTGCCAACAGGACTACCCGGTCTCTTCCATAAGCTTTTCATGGGACTTCCTCTAGAAAATAAGGATCCATTGTTATTTTTTGATCTTTCATTGTTGTTGATATGTGAATTAGGTGGATTCCCTGAAGCTGATTGATCTTTATTTGACTCAAAATCATGTTCAAAAGCATTCCATGACACTTCCATAGTGCTCCCACAGTCAAGGAACTGCATATCAAGATCTTCAAGTCTTTGATATGCATCAAGAAATCTCTTGAGCTGCCATGGCCCTATAACCAGCAAGGGTTCATGAGGCACTCCCTTCAACAAATCACGTCTCAGGGCTAGCACCCTTGCCAAGCCTGTGTGGTGATCAGCATGAATATGAGAGATCCACACACATTTTAGGTTTCTAACAGCATCATTTGCACCATCTATGCCATATCTGTTCTCAACATAATACCAATCATAATGAGTTAAAAGCGATATCATAAAGCTCAGAATAATAATAAATAGTGATATCTAACTAAGTTGTAACATGTACCTTCTTTTCAGCTGTCCCAGTGTTCCTTCTCCACAATCTAAGAGCAAACTTCCTTTGGAGAAGAGATTAATGTGGACAGAACTAACATTCCGGTATTTGGAAGGCTGGGATGAACCAGTCCCAAGAAGAACAATTTCAAGGTCATCTCTCCTTATGTTTTCCAGACAACTAGGAAGAGTATTCTCATCCAACCATGGCTCTTCAATCACATGTTTATTATCCTGCACAGGATTTAACTCTTTTGTTTCCTTGGGCTCATGCCAGAACTTCCTGACAAGTTGGGCTGCATCCACAATCTCTGGAACCTCTGAAAGCAGCTCATTAATTATCTCAGAGTGAGTCATCAGACTTGGGATATGCGATCTGTCTAGACCAAGTTGAGCATAAGGTCGCAAAGTGAACTGCAGGAATGAATAAGAAACACTATTACTGATTAAACACTACAGCATAATAAGATATGTAAATAGGACAACAATCATAAATGGACTAAGAGACCACTGACAGAGTGCACAGAAAGGTTCATAAAGCAAGATTTATTCTTGTTACCAGGAACCAGTTACCATGAAATATTGGAAGAAGGGGGAAACGGTGAGTAAGTCAAAATCTAAGTAACATACCTTGAGGAGATTTTCAGCAGAAATGCTTTCACAAAGCTCTGAAGTAGGAACCTGGTAATTGGTAACATAAACCAACATCTCAGTTTCCTGAAATATTTTCAGGAAAAAAAAAAAAAAAGAGGAAGCTACCATCACTAATGATCTGCTTATGTCTTTCAACTATGTCATGACAAACCTCGCTAGCAGCATTAGCATCTTGTGTCAAGGAATTGAGTTGATTAACAGACCAGAAACCTGGTGCTGGAAAGAACTGTGGACACACATAATTCAGTTGTGCTGCAATTCTTGCACTGGATTTTAGGATTGGAACCTCCACATTCTTGCTGCAAACAGCACAAATACCCATTCATCAAGGAAGTAGTCAAGCAAATACCCAATATTGCTTTCAAGGATGGAGCAGAAAAAAAAAAAAAAGTAACTCACATTTCATGTCCAGCAACAATATGTTGAACCTGACCAAATTTCTTCATCCATTTCTGGTAATTATGGTTGTGTACAACAGAAGCAGGACTGAGATGAATGACACAATTCACAGTCTTAGCACTCTTTGTTTGGTTACCAGACAAATCTGTATAATATTCTGTGAGAGATTCTATGGACAATAATTCCTCTACATGAGATTCTGTTGGACAGTCAACCAGGATGAAAATGGGACCAGGAATTGGAGGACCCATAACATCACTTGGATGAACCTAGGTAGCAAGGCAGATAAATTAGGGGTTAAAAACATATAACAAAACAATTCAGACACCTCAAAAGCATCAAAAACCCACAAAAAATGTATGTTTTTCAATAGATTACCAACCATGATATCAAGACTGTCTGATTTGACTGATTTCCCCTTTTGAAGCTCCCCATACTTTGGCCCAGGTTTCAGCCCAAGAGCAACGGCCTTTTTTGGATCGAATTTCCCCATAAGCTCTGGCAGTTCACAGATATATATGACAGACATTTCACCAGGCCTTACCGGCAACCCTTCTGAGCGACTTGGACACAGGAAAACAGCTGATATTTTGACAACCTCATCGTTGACAAGAACATAGGGTTCTGTGAGTTTACTTGGATCAGGCAGAGCAGCAGCAGAGTGAGCTGGGCCAAAACTTTGAGTATGAACCATGGCAGCATGTGGGATAAACGATTTCATTGCATCAACTAAATATGTAAGATCTGAGGGACCCCATACATTAACCTTTAAGAGAACACAGGCTTAAAATTTAGATGTGTAACACAACTAGTAATATATTTTAAGAAATAGAGGGAATAATACAAAACTTATAAGTCATCTTATACTCACAGACATCCCTTCTTCTCCCATGCCAGCCAAGGTCAGCAACAAACCTGTTATGTACAGTTAAAAACTGAGGAAATCAGTGTATCTTCTTTATTTCTGAAGTACTAATTAATAGCATCTACAGTGTAGACTTTAATGCTTAGAATATAATATTGACATTTTAGAAATGTCAGATATCAAGATTCAAGATGAAAACCTGGAAGTCCGCCCGCTGTCTCTGAGCAAACACGAGAGAGAAATATGTGATCTATCTGAAGAAATACCCACAATAGACAAACTAAGAAGTTTGCAAGTTTATATGCACAACATAAACATAAGGCACCGCATACCTTTGATAATTTAATCTTATGCTCTGTGCAAAATCGCTGCAATCCCTGCAATGACAATGATGATATGTCATCATAACAATATGAGCATGAGCTTACATACATTTCACAAAGAATCACATTTGAACATCTTTGAAACAACAATCAGCTAACAGTCAGTTCTTTTAGCATTAAAAGCTAATATCTTGAAATCAACAATCAATGTCACTGAAATTTACTATCACAGTTAATAACAGTGCTGAGTTAAAATCTCACGCCTATGCACTTATTATAACATTCAGAAATCAAGAAAAAAGATTAATTTTTCTGTCATAACCATAGCTTCATAGTATACCAAAGAAAAGAAAATTAGGTGCTAAGAGACATGAAATAAGGCAAGGAACTGTGAACTGATCATCTTTTAATCTCTGAAACTCATGTAGTTAAATAAAAAAAATGTCATCCACACATACCTCCCCGGCATTGAAGACAAATCTTTGCTTGTCAAAGAAGAGCAAAACCGAAGGTGAGGTATCTTGCGTATCCATTCCAGTTCCCAGTATCTGCCAGAAATATTAAATTACCATCATTAGTAAATCAAACTATTTCCAACTTCCAAAACATTATCAACTAAAATTCAAACTTTAATAGCTGCATTTTGGCATTGCAAATCACATTTGGCAGTATTTGAATCCAATTCAAGATCCAAAATTACAACTAACTTAACATAAACATGGCTCTGGAAAATACATTAGATTGTAAACAAACAAATTCAAACTTAGCTCCTGCATAAACCAATAAACATAACCAATTCACCATACCCACAATTACAAATAATTTAACATACCCATGTTCAACCCAAAAAAGCAATAACCAGAGAAGAAAAAAGGAGATACAAATTGGAAAGATAAATACCTGAACATATGCGATTGTATTGGTAGGATTAAGGGTCCGCGATTTCAACTGGAGATTCTTCTTAGGCCTATCGTTCTTATCTTTCCCCTCTGCCCTTCTCTTGTTAAACCCAAAAGAAGAAGAAGAAGAAGACTCCGTTTCATCCATTACTGCTTCTTTGCCTCTGTCTTTGTTCTCCCTGAAAGTGCTGCTGTTTCTTCTGGTAAGGTTGAGAGAATCCCGATAAGGGGCGGGCTGCTTACGCCCGGGCGAGGAAGAAGAGAGGACGGTGGTGAAGAGAGAGTAGGGTTTTGGTTTGGGTTTAGAGATGAAGAGAGGGGAAGCAAGAGAGGGTCTTAGAGGAGAGAAAAGGAGGCGCAGATTGGGTGAAAATACACAAGGCATTTCGGCTCTGGCTATTTTGGGTTTTTCGAAAGGTTTAAGACCCTGCGGTTTTAAGGCAAAAACCAACATTGAGCCCCTCACCTTACAAAATTGGTAGATTTTAGCTCCTCACCTTATAATATGACAGTTTTATCCCTTAACCTAAAAAAGTGGGAAAATTAACCCCCCAACCTAAAAAAGTGAAAAAATTTAAACCCCTAAACTAAAATAAAAAAATTTTAACCCCTCAACCAAAACAAATAAAAAAAAATAGCCCTTACCTAACATCAAATTATAACATTCTGTTAATTCTGTTAGCTGATTGTTAACATCTATTAGTATTCCGTTATAAAAAACATGAAATTTAAATTTAATTTAATTTATTAGTTCCATTAACGGAATGCTAACGAATGCTAATAGTCAACTAATAAAATTAACAGTTAGTTAACAAAATTGACAGTCAACTAATAGAACTAATAAAATATTATAACTTGATATTAAATAAAGGTTATTTTCTTCAATTCGTACAAATAAATGGTTAAAAGTGTCATAATATAAAGTGAGGGGCTAAAACCTACCAATTTTGTAAGGTAAATAGCTAAAATGATCATATTATAAGATTAGGGGTTAAAACCTATTAATTTTGTAAGATGAGGAGCTCAAAGTTGGTTTTAGCCCGATTTTAAGGTCCACCGGAACTCTTTGCTTTGCACCGCACTCCATGCCCAGTTACGGGGTCAGCCACTCCAATGTTTTGATTAACGGCTTTATTTTATGGTTCCGGATTTTTAAGACGGCTTGACATGTGAAGATTTTTTGATTTTTTGTTTTACCTTATTTGATAATGTTTCTTGATAGTTTAGTTTTTAGTTTTTAGTTTTTATATTTTTTTATTATTTTTAAAATATAAAATATTAATTAAAATAAATATAAAATATATTAAATATATTTTATATATTTTAAAGATGTTAACAATTAAAAAAATTAACTATTATAGTTACATGTCAATCCTTCCAAAGAACTAAGTCTAAAATAGATTAGTCAAAAATATACTCATGGGTATCATTTCATCTTTCTCTTTTAATACCTGTAAATTTTTGTTGATTGGCAATTTCAAGTTTATTTTTTTATGGTATTCTCTTTAAATGTAACCAACTGGTTAATTATTTTTTGATGGCCAATTTAAGATTAATAAAAAAAGAAAGTGTTATTTTCTTATAAAAATATATTTAAATTGTTAAATATTATGACTTAGGATTACAAATTGTTTCACTTTATTAGCCGTTTAGAGCTTTTACATTAGAATTAAGACAATAATTAATTATCCTTAATTTTAAGTAAATCCTTAGCCTAGGGTATTTAAAAAGTCAATGTATCATCTAATATGGTCTGATTTTCCAGACTGTGTTTTTCATTACAAATGCTGAGTTGTGTTTGTGCATTACAAGCTAATCCCAAAAACTTGGGGGACTTGCTTGCCAAACAACAGTGGGAAAACCAGATTCTAGGGGGCTGGTTTGTATCAATCTTTCCGAGCTCTATGATTTTCTAGTTTCAATATTATTAGAGGAAGTATGGCAAAATATGTATATCTATACATTATTAGAAGAAGAAAAACATTTTATTGCAACATGAAGGATGAAATGATTTGTGTTTCTATCATTTCATGTGATGCAGGTTGTGATTCAACCACTGCCAGAGTGGAAAGCATATGAATGGAAATACAAAAAATTACCTCCCCACAAAGGATTCTTAAGTATCTTAACAACATCTTTTGGTTTGTTACTTTTTCTAGAAAAATTAACACTTTTGCCCCAATGATTGAGTTAAAACTAAAATCATTTATATTTTAATATAAGTTTAAGACAAATTACCTTCTCATTAGCTCTTTCAAGAGAAGTGGCTAAAGCTAAACATCTGCAAACCTTGTCCGTTTTCACAAAGCAACATACAATTGAAAGGAACAGAGCGTTACAATAACAAATCAAAAAGAGAAGGCAAAAGCAAAAACTGCAATTTCTTCTTTGATTATTGCATACAAAGGCCAAAAGATTAAGCGCACAGGTGGTCTGCTTAACTCAATTAGAAGTCATCGGACAAAGGTGCATGCTCTGTATGCATGAACACATTTCCGTAGATAAGCCCAGCCAGCCCACCACCAATCAGAGGCCCAACCCAGTAGATCCAGTTGTCGTGGAAGTCGCCACTAACAACAGCAGGCCCGAAGGATCGGGCTGGGTTCATGGACCCACCGGAGAATGGGCCGGCAGCCAAGATGTTGGCACCAACAATGAAACCAATGGCGATGGGTGCAATGGTGCCTAGTGAACCCTTCTTGGGGTCAACTGCTGTAGCATACACTGTGTAAACCAAAGCAAACGTGATGATGATCTCCATGACTACGCCTTCAATGGCGCCAACTCCGGCGGCGAGGCTGTGTGTGGGAATTGCCTGCAATCAAAATCAAAGTAAGCACACGGAGAGCTTCCTTGATGTCTCAAACATGGACAAATTAATGTTACTGTAAGCTTATTACCAAGCCTCCAGTGACAGCCTTGAGAAGGAAGCATGCAACAATGGAACCGAGAAGTTGGGCAATCCAGTAGAAGATACCGGTGAGGATTGTGATTTGCCCACCCAGAGCTAAGCCGAAGGTGACAGCTGGGTTGACATGGCCACCAGAGATGTTGGCTCCAACGGCGACTGCAACAAAGAGAGCAAAACCATGGCATATGGCTATGGCTACCAGCCCGGAAGGATCAAGAGCTGCATCTGCAGTCACCTTATCTGTCAAAGAAGGATTTAAAAAGAAAAAGGTTAGAAACCATGTAACTGAGCTGGAGCTAGAGAGTGTTGCAAGGGAGAGTGAGTAGGCTACTAACTGTAGGCTATGGCAGAACCAACACCGGCAAAAACAAAGAGCAGTGTTGAGATAAACTCAGCGAGATAGGCTTTGAGAGTGCCTAAACTGAAGGAATCATCAAAGCGACCAAAGGCGATTCCGGCCATCTTTTTGAGAGGAGAGAGAGTTGAAGGGGAACTTTCTATCTGTAATCTCTAGAAAAGGAGATAAGAAAGAAAGAATGATCCAGATAGATCACAGATGCCCTTTCTAGTTCACTTTAGGTAACTTGATGGAAGATATACTTCATAAAAAGGAATATATATAAAGGGTACAAACAAATCCATGCAAATCCAGTTTGGATTTTTCTTGGAAAATTTTGTGCAGTCCAAGCTGTCATGGCCTGCCTTATTAGAAATGTCGGGAAGCTCATAAATGATTCCTTCATGTGAAAAAGAGTGGAGTGATGGGGTAATGTGTGAAGGAAATAATGATAAAAGAAAAGAGGTAGGTGATGGGATCATGAGTCATGTACCAACAGGTGTCCATACTTGGAAAAATGAGTGGATAGTATAGGATTGAATGTGTGATGTTGGAGAGGATATTTAAATGTACAACAGAGTTTGGAGGGTATTTTTATTTTTTTTTTTAAATCTAAATTATGGAGATGCCGCGACCTTAAAATAAAAATTGAGATGGATTGAGAGGAATCTTAAGCAATTTGACCTGTTTGGATTAGCTACATATGCATGACTTAAGACAGATCCCTTAACGGCTGAGAATTAAGAATGAGAAACTTTCCTAACTTTTCCTAACTTTTCATAGGTCTTATTGCCTTTGCCTATAAGGCATCTATCATGGATTCATGATGTAACTTTGCTTTTGTTATCAACAAATCTTGGGAACTAGGTAGTTGTGTGGTTTAATTGATAATAGGGTTTACTCTTCATTTTGTTGATTAAAATTCGATTCCTTAAAAAAATTAATAATCTAATTTTTTTAAAGAGGTTAATAAAAAAGTAATTCCTCATAAATTCTCAGTTTCAATATAAATGGTCTACCTTTTATCAAACTAAAAATGAATTAGTTTTGAAATATGCATAAATTAATCGAAAGACACATTGACTGTTAAAAAGAAGTAATGAATCTTTGGTTATTAATTAAAAAAAAGATAGACTTTAGCTTTCAAAATATAAGTATGTTACTGAATGTAACTTTTATTGAAAAATAATTTCTTTACAATAAAATTTTACAATATGATATGGAGCAATTCTTATTGTTTCTTTTAATTGGGATGAGAAGCATGCTTGTCAAAAAATGACAACCAATATTTATTCTACGGCCGTAAAGCAGCAAAAAGCAAAATTTGAACAAGAATAGAAAAGAGAAAAGCACCCTGGCCATGGGAATAATATCCAATGCCTTGCAATCCTCATAGGATTCCCCCATAAAAAACTTTTAATCCAACAATCAAATAGAGACAACCTTGGGAATTAATAAAAAGCCGTAAACCACTCTCTTTTATTGGCAAAAAGAAAAATACCATTGCTTGATGGAGTATGAGTCACAAAACAGCACAAAAAAATTAAAAACAGTTGCAAATTAGCTGATAAAAATAGCAGCAAGAAAATTAAGGGGGCTTGAATTTTTTCCTTAACATAGCACACGGATTAAGGCGCCCTGAAAGACAATCAAATCCCAAATTGTTATAAAGTTCTGGGAGCATGAAATGGCAGAAGGTGCAAATTAAACCCCTCCACTT